CAGGATAGTTTCTAAAATCACACCAGGAGCTCGGGGACGGCCCCGCCACCACCCCTCCTCGGCCCCCAGGTGGGTGTTTGTGCCCTCTGTGGCTCCGGGATTAAAATCTGCACCATTTCATAACCTTCTCTCTTTTCATATATATATATGTTTGTGTCATCCTCACGTATAATCATTTTTTCCCCCCCATCAGGCATCTGACAGAATCAGACCCAGAATCGGGGAAGCTACCATGGAAGAACTGGGCCTGTGTGGCTCCAAGTGGCCCCGAGGACGGCCATGCTCCCAAGCGTGTTGGGAGAGCGGCAGGACCTTTTCCGCGCTCAGACGTGCCCTCAGCAGCCTGTAGCCCCGTGCAAGAGCCCAGAGTGGTGTGACCCCTTGATCCTGCGCTCCCCTCCGGAGCCGTGGCACACCGGTTTACGGATGCAGAGCTTCACGGGGTGAGGGCAAACTCAACCTGTGTGAGAAAACTGTGTCACACGTGCCTCTGCCTAAAAGCATGCACACAGGTATTTATGGCATACCTCAGGCAGGGTGCCTTCCCACCCTGGCTCTCCTCGCCTCCGCACAGTCATACCAGTCGGCCTGGCTCCCTGGAGGCACTGCACCTCTCACCCCGCTGCAAACCTGCGCCTCTGTCCTGCTAATGACAGCAGCCGAGCTGCCACGGGGACAACGTGACTCCAGAAGCTGCAGCCTGGAAAAAAAAAAAAAAAGAAACCAACCAAACAGCCCTAAATGTGCACAATCAAGTGATGAGTGTTTGTATTTCTGATGCTTTGAGGCCAGGTCACAACCCTCCCTCCACATAATATTCAGGATGTTTGGGAAGGGGTATTTTTCTTTTAATAGGATGGCGTAGTCACAAAGCTTTAAAGAAATAAATGAGTGAATCGGCTATGGTAATAGCAACATACTACGAACGGGGCACAGTGACGAAGTTCAAGTCTATTTTTAAGCCTGCTTGGCAGCATGTAGGTGCAGACAAGAGTCCGTGACCCTTTCTGCTGTTCTGAAGCTATGGACATGGCTGATGTCTCTGTCCTGGTTCAACATCAGAGTTGTTTTTGCTCCCTAACGAATACTATGGGAAGACGGAGAAGCCTCAAGGTGTTTTGAAGATTGTGCAACAATGCTTGGGAACCTACCTGCTTTTGCTTGAGTGCTTTCCTCATTCACATTTCACAGGATGCGACAGGAAGGGAAATACAACCGAGTCGGAGGGACTTGAATCCTTCGTATGCCCTGGGGGTGAGGTGGGTGCCTCTCAGATAAGCAATCTAATCAACTTTGCACTTGTGTCCCATCTGGAAACAGATTGTTGCCGAAGTACACCACCACCTGAGAAGCAAGCTTCGGGTTTTTTTTTTGAAGATAATTGTACCAGCGAAATCGGGGAGTGTGAATTTGCCTGAGGTAATAAGATCTTTTTATTTTTATTCATAGTTAATCCGTTCAGACGAGGCGATTTCACGCCAGAATGCAGTCTCCAAGCAAGAAAGACGATTGCGCTGCCTGTGCCGCGCATATGCATGGTGCCTGCCCAGCAGATCGACTGCTGCGACAAAGAGCCATGAGCCAGTCCAGGCACATGGGCAAGATAAGGAAAAGGCTGGAGGATATCAAGAACCAGTCCCCGAAGCTGACAAAAACAGATTTCAGCCACAACGAAAGCATAAGGTTGGCCACCGATGCCTTCCTGGACGGTGGGACGGACTCTTACCTTGAAACTTTAAGCAAAGAGGGCGAGGTGGATTTCCTCTCCTCGGTGGAAGCCCAGTACATCAAGGATAACACCAGGGAGTCCTATTATGCGCAGGAGTCCCTGGCCCCTGATGGGGCGGCTGTGCCAAACCAGAACGATGCCGGGTCACTCCCTTCAGGGACCTACTTCCCCACCATTTCTGACAGCAATGAGCCAGCTCTGCTGCATACATGGATTACAGCGGAGAAGCCCTATTTAAAGGAAAAATCCACCGCCACTGTGTATTTCCAAACAGAGAAGAACAGCAACATCAGAGACATCATACGCCGGTACATCAACAAGACCACTCAGGTATGGGGAGAGAATTGCTGTTCCCTCTGCACTCAGTTTTCTTCCTGCTCTTAAAAAGATCAGGTAAAGGCGGTGTTTGATCCGAGCCAGCCTTGTGCCTTGCAGTGTAGCTTTGTTCTAGAAGTGGCTGTAAAGAGTCCGTTGTTGAACACAGGCGGTGCCTTTTTATTTTGTACTCACACCAACACTTTTTCATGTTGGTGACTTAAAAAAAAAAGCATTCCCTCTTCTTTTAAACTCCCATTAACCCTGCAGAGCAAATGTGCTGTATGAAGGGCAGCTGGGCTCTATCCCTTCTCGTGCATCACCAGCAGGATGGTTTGCTCTGTTCAGACCATTGCTCTGGTAATGAGAATTAAGCTAAAGTGAGCTCTGAGCCATTAGAGGTTGTTTCATGAGATTCATGTGGGTGAAGGGGAGCCCAGAGAAGGGCATGTGTGTCTGGTGTGCCAGCAGCTGTCCCCAGAGGAAGGAAATTATTTGGAAAAAAGACCTTTCATCCCTAATACATTGTCAGTGCCACTAAAAATGCGACGTGGGCTCCATACAGAGACTCTGCAGCGTAACTTGGCACGTGGAAAAGGTGCAGATGATGCCCCTGACAACAGACAAGTGACGGGGGCCGCAGAGAGGTGCCAGCCGCAAGCCAGGCTGCCCACGCACTGGGAAGCTAGAAGCTGAGCAGCTGGAGGGTGACGAAAAGTCTCTGTCATGTGTGTTCTGGCAGCTTTCCTGTTTTCCTGGAAAAAAAATATTTGACATTTCAGGGCTGTGTTTACCATCATCCAGGAGTTTTCCCCTTGTATAAACTCCAGATGCCACTGGCAGTTTCACAGGGGAATGGTCAGGAACAGAACCAGGCTGTAGTGCCTGCTGTCCGGCACAGGCTGCGGAGCCCGCTGGAGTTACAGACTTTCACTTGATTATTCTCCTGCAAGGGCCAGTGCTGGGTCTGATAATGCTGAGTGTAATGGCAGGGGAGAAGAATCCCCGTTAGCAACTGCCCTGTCAAAAGCTACAAGTGCTCAGCACATCAGGGGAATTACAAATCAATCATTTTAAGCTGGCGGCATCAGAAAGGTACAGTAACAGAAGAAATGTCTCTGGAATAATAAAATGAGCATCAGGTAAAGTATCAACCCAGGCCAATTTTCTGTCCCGAGAGGAGAAACCTTGTAGGGCAAAAAGTGGGAAATGTAATAAAAATCCGTGGTTCACATAACCTTCTTATCCATCTAATTTGCATTACAAGAGGGTGCTGGAGCAATGCTTAATCACAGTATAAATTTGGCAACTGCTTTTTGAGTGCAGTTTTTCAATGGCAGCATTTATTAATTAGTATCTGATAAGGGTCTATCCTGGATAGCCTAGTATTTGATATATTCATTAACAACTTAAACAACAGAATAAAGACTCTGTGTGTGGATGACATCAAACTACAAAGGATTGGCAAGTAGTACTATAATCTTAGCACATTTGTGCAATAGGCTCAAATCATAAAATGAAATTTAGGCCAAAGAACTGAGAAGTACTGCAAGTGAGAGAGGAAAGTCTGGTGCAGAAATACAAGTTGGGAACAGCTGGTGAAAAAGCAGTACTTGAGCGTGGTCTGGAGCTCCGGTGAGGCTGGATGCAGTACTGTGCTGCTTAAAAAGACAAGGTAAGTTAACAGTAAGTGTGGATGTGAGATATTGGATATAATTGTGCCACTTACCTAGCACTGGCAAAGACCTTTCTAAAGCACCGTGCTTTGGCAGCAGAGGAAGGTGTGGGATCCTCACCTCTCCATGAATAATTTGGCTTGCCTGAACAGGATGCTGGCCGCACAGGATGTGCTTCGTCTTGTAGGATTGCCTCGTCGGGGTGCAGGGAATAAGCTTGTTGGCAGGTGTGGGCACAGGCTTTGGAGTAAGATTCAGTGCAAGTTGGAAACAATTAGTAAGACAGACCTGCAGAGATACTGTAAAGTTTGTTTTGATTGAAGATGATATCCTGTGAGTGCAATCACCAAGGGTTCCCTTTCTAGTCAATGGAGAAATAGGCACCTTCTGAAGATAAGTCAGGGATTAGCTGGGCTGAATTGCCCTAGGGAGATGACCCTTCCCATGGACAACAGCAGACATCAACGAAGACCAGCTCCTTCAAGAGGCCGTGCCCAACGCTGAGCGTAGAGGCTAGAGTATAGAAGTGGGTTTATACCACATTTACTGTTCCCTCAATCCACTCTGGCTGGAGGCTGTGCATTGAAGTAGCTGTTGGGGCTTTTATGCCCAGTCATGAGACTGTCCTGCCAGCTGTGAATTGGGAAGCATGGATGTATGGTTAAAATGAAACAATCAATTTATAAATCATTATAAAAAACAAAAAAAAAGGTGGAGCTGTTGCAGTCTGTCACCCCACCACCAACGACAGAGTGAGGATTTAAAGCCAGGACCGTTCGACGTGCAAGTCGTAACAGAGGAAGCGTCATCCAGTGATTCTTGCTAAATGCATGTGACTTACAAAAGCTAGTCAGCCGTTTGGCAAGGGCTGCGGTCTCTTATTTTAGCTACATCCTTATTATGCTCTGATTAGCACTTCAATATATTTCCTAGTGCTGAAATCTCACCTACAAATTCATGGGTCATCTTGTGTTTTATGATTAAAAGAGCTTAACTGAAGTGCATATGTTGTGTGTTATATTGGCTTTATTTGAGCAATAAAACAATGACACAACGTGTCTCATAGGTTTACCGATTCGGGCACTTAGGGAGAAAACCAGAAGAAATATCCACATATATCTCCAAAGATTTGTGTTTGTTGGAATATTTTAAAAAAACAAAACAAAACAACCTACATTTCAGTGGCCTCACAGGCAACCTTAAGTTATATAAATTAACTCTGCTAATGCCCCTTCTTTCCCCCCCCTAGGTGCTAGCTATTGTGATGGATGTGTTCACAGACACTGAGATTCTTTGTGACCTCCTGGAGGCAGCTAACAAGCGCATGGTGTTTGTCTACCTGTTGCTTGATCATGGCAATATAAACCTCTTCTCGGAGATGTGCGACAAGTTGCAAATTGCTGAGGATCTCTTCAAGGTACTGTGGCTCTGTGAAGCTCTTAGGCTCAGATTCGCCTGCCTAACTTGAGGCACTCTGAGCTAGAAGCATGGTTATGCTAGGGTTAGTCCACCTTGTAATTAAAAGGGAGCAAGAGATTTCCAGAGGTAGCATTAGCGTGCCTAATTCCTCTCTGAAGATGCCTATGTTTTTCCATGGATGTTACAGGAAGTTAAAGCATTTGCATTAGGTCCTTAGATGGAACTAATCTGGGCCCTGAAGTCTTAAAACAGAGCTTAAGTCCCCTAGTAGAGTTGTCTAACATAAGCATTACAACTGTTTCTGTTTAATAACTTTGCAGCAGCTGTGGTCTGGCAGCCATGGGTAGCGGGCACACAAAATTCTTTTGCATGACAATACCTTGGTTGCACTAGGTGGTTTCTGATAAAACATATTGTTAAAGCTCTGTTTTAAAGATAATGCCTCAAATTTAGCTGGCTGTTAGCTTAGTCCACCTTCATCTCCGCCAGAGGGAACTAACCTTAAAAATAACCTCCTAGGGACCATTTCAATTATTGCTTGAGATGCTGTAGGGCACCTGTGGCATCTTGGTGGGGATGGCTGATGCCGCAGAGGCAGCGGCCTTCTGGAACGGCAGCTGGAGGGCATGCAGGAGACCTGCGGGCATCTTACATGCACCAGACACTGGTGTTTCAACAGCTGAATTCCACCCAAAACACACAAAGAAACTGAAATTAATAAAACACACTCGTAACAGTGTTCATGTCTGTAAACCCCCACTCCTTAGGAAGAACAATCCTGTGCTATCTATTCTAAGTATGCTGCTACAATACGCAGGCTTGCGTGAGCCAGATCCTTGGTGCCGCTCATTTGCTAAGGCCGTGATTCTGCGAAGTGTATGAACGGACAGCAGAGTCGGGTCTGGGTGGGGTGCCTGGCCTGCCTTAAATGCGCTTGCTCAGGTACAAGGACAGTGCAGAGCATTGCGTGGCCAAACTGACCTGCTTCCCCACTCACACGTGTGCACCTGATCCTGCAGGACGGCATTCGTCTGGGCTGCACTAGAAGAGCAGCGTGTACGTCCTTGCAGGCCCAGGTGGATTGGAAGAGCAGAGGTTTTGCCCTGCTGTGTACTGTGCCACAGCCAACGTAAAACAAGGGAGCTTACAGCTAGAGCAAATGGCTGCTGGGCTGTCAGCACAGGTAACAGACTGCTCTCAGCTCTGAACACGTCTCATACTCAGTAGCAGCAGCATAAGTTATTGTTACACAGCACTGCTCCATCTGTATGAATTTCCATGCAGGTTTATATTCCCACTGAAACAAGTAACCCTGTGGCAGGTGAGAGTTTGGCTAGGTTTCCTCTAGCCCCAAACCTTCAAATATAACATTGAGAGTCCATGAAGAAATCATAACAGGCATCAGGGAAGTGAAAAACTAAGGGCAGTGGGGGAAAAGGGACCTTTCCTTCTGATTTTTAATTTAAAAAAAAAAGGAATTCACTCTGTTCTTTTTTTTTTTCTTTACAGAATATTTCAGTCCGCAGTGTTACTGGAGAGGTTTACTGTGCCAAATCAGGCAGGAAATTTTCAGGACAAATACAAGAAAAATTTCTTATATCTGACTGGAGATACGTGCTCTCTGGATCTTACAGGTGAGATAAGCCATTGCAGTTCACGTCTAAGTGCTCTTTTATGATTTTTAATATTATTTCACCAAAAAGTGCCATGGAAATTTTTGTACAGGTGAGAAGTTTTTTTGAACAAAACCTCCTCATGTTTTCAAATATGTGCCATTTTTCAATAATCCATTTAACTTGCTTTAAAGCTGATGTTAGTTCTTTATGGAGCGTGGTATTTAATTTAAATGTTCAGAAAGTAACATAAACAACTCTGCTGGTGCAGCCCTGGAGCAGAACTAGAAATATGTGTAGCTTAGTATTATGCTTTCCTCATTGTTTGGGTCCTCAGATGCAGTGATCATGAGACATGATACATTTCCATCTCCCTCGGGATCCCTTAATGTAGCATATGTCATTCAGCTTATCTGAGGATTTGTTCTCCATATGACAAGTTTAGTGATTAAAGGGAAAACAGAAATACTTCAGAGACTTACTGTTTTTTTCTTGTGTTTCATTAACAGGTAGGCAGTATGTGGCTACATGACTGTTGTACCTTCCCTTTTTTTTTTTTTTTTTGTGTGCTGAGTCTGTAACTCTCCACTTCTGTGCTGCTATAATTATTTCAGGCAGAGGATGTAGCATCTCGACAACTGGGTTTTTAATTAAGATCCAAGATCCTCAGGTCAGGGAATTTCAGGAGACTCTGAGCTTGCATCAAATAAAGTTCCTATGCCTCATGGCTACATAGATAAGCTTCACAAATGACCAAAGTGTATCCTAGAAATCCAGATACAAACACACAAGAGAAAAAAATTACAGAGGTGATTATTTAATTAAAAGGATGAGACTGGTTTTTGTAATCCCGGTTTATGATTTGGAGGCTTAAATGCCTCTAGTCTGATAAAACTGTGCCACCAGGAAGATTATACAACTATAGTAATGAATGTAAAGGTGAATACGTGGGGTTAGCATAGGCTGCAGGAGCACAGAGGTGGGCATCCAGTTTTCATTCAGTTTCCAAATGAACTGTCAGACAAAAATGAGTGAACACTCAGACTTTTTTTTTTATTGGGCACTCTGTGGTTTTCTTGTTCTTTCAGTTTTTTTTTTAATCCCTCACTAAAGATGTGTAGAAACGCAACAGCAGATTTATATAGAGAGTAGAAGTGAAGGGTGTGTGGGAGAAGAGGGACAGAACAACATCTAATTTCTTCAGCCAAGAAACTTGCTTTTGGCTTCTCTTTTCAATCCTAAAAAAAAAAAGAAAAACCTGAAGTCCGGTGCAGAGTCACTTCTGTCATTCTCTACTGCTGTTGCAATACCTTCTAACCTCAAGAGCCTTATCAAACTACATAATCCCTTATCCAACAAGCAGAGAGGGTGGTGAGGAACAAGTCTATACACTATTTAACTTCAGCATGCTCAGCACCAGTTTGCAGATTCACACGGGTTACAGCTGGCTATCACTACGTGACATTTCTGTAGGCGTGCTAGCTCTCGCTTTATTAATCTGAAAGTTTTCTGTTATCCCTAAACCTTATCCACGAACCTCTGCAGGTATAAACAAGAATGATGTTGAGTAAAACGGACTCAAACTCTTCTGTAATGCATTTGCTGGAAATCAAATTGGAATAGATCTTAAAACTAATACAACAGCAAATTTCACCAGAGTGCTGTGCTCTGCATGACTTTGTAATAGCAGTTGGGGGAACAGGCTGAGGAAATTAAATAGCCCTTCAGGACACACTGCTCTAAAAGGGACCCTGGCTCACTGCTTCTAGCCAAAGTGTTTGGGGACAAAATGTATTTGCCTAATGGACAATGAAGAGGACTGAAGCTGGCAACTAGTTAGAGGCAAAGGGATCACCACTGAGTCTGTGGCATCTCCTGCTCTGGAGTGTTTTTTAAAACCACGTTAAAAAGCCATTGCTTGGGTCAGGTGGATAAGCATGGTCCTGCCACACAGGGCAGGCTGGAGCTAAGAAGCTTCTGAAGGCTGTTCCAGCCATGTGGCTGCACAAGTGCAGGCATGAGTAAGTGTTTTAAGTTCCAGTTTTCCTCTCAATTTTTATTGCCAATGTCTATGGTGTGGGGTTCGGATGCAGTATGTCGTTTTGCTGTCTCTGCATTATGCTATTTCATCCTACTATAACTATGTTATTCCTTTTTTTTTTAAAATTAATTTGAAGTTAGATAGTGCATGAACTCAGTGCTCCTAAAGGCAGCAAAATGAAAACAGCAGAAAGCATAGACCTTGACCCTCAGGGGCAGCAGAGTACCTCCCCAGCTGCCACTCCGAAGGCCACCGGCCTCTTCAGAGCCAGTATCTAACATGTGACACTGGGCTGCTTTGCCGAGAGCATTGGTTCCGGTGGGGCAGGTTTCTCACACAGAGGTTATCCCACCAGCAGGCAACACTAAGGCGTAGGTTAAGTCAAACCTAAGCTCAGCTGAAAAACCCAGTCCTTCCATGACAGATTAAATGCGTGTCATGCTGCATGTTACTGTAGCACTGTAAACATGAGGGATGAGAGCATCCCTAATGAACTGCAGCTGCAGTAACACAGAGGGTACACTCAGAAAAAAACAAGTCCAGTGCAAATGAAGATTGGACAGGAGAGGTGGGTTTTAATTCAATCATAAATGAAAGGATCCAGAATAGGACATAGGTTTTGGGACAAAGCCCTGGAAAGATGGCTGAGAAATATTTATTAATGACTGAATTTGTGCTACAGCTTTGGCCCCAAGCTAGGCAGTGGTTCTTTGTGCTTTCTTTTCTTTCTGATGTGCTTCACTCAAAGACGCCTGGTAGAAAAAAGATCCTTCTGGGCAGATAGTGACAATAACAGACTTCTCTGAGCCTCTCCCAAAAGAGCACTCCAAATTGTAAACTAAGGAACAAAACAGGGCCTAAAACCTAAACAATGAATTTCCTCTTAGAATGAAGCCAATGAAAACCTGTTAAGTCTTTATGTCAAGTTCTGCTTTGTTCTTCAGCAGAGTGCACAGAATGTAAATTGCTGTGACTCACTACATGAAGTCCACAAATGTTCATCTAAAATCATGCAGGTCTCACCTTGTTACTTTACAGCTGACCCATCTCCCATCAGTCCATGGGGAATCTTTGGGCTATTAATTTGATCCAACTTTCTCTGCTTGCAAGGGTTACAGATAAGATCGATGAGCCACAGATGAGTATCTGTCTGTCAGGTACTTCAGGAAGTTACATGTGGGAGTAAATTATCAAAATTGGGTACAACAGTTTTCTCCTCTGATTTTGTTGGGTTTTTAAAAGCCATTTATAAGTATAATTGACTTTTTATTTCTCTCTAAATTTTCTTTTATAAACTAGATACATCTCTAGCACATAAAGTATAAACCTGCCACTCCACACCCCAGCCTCTTCAGGAGTTTGTAACCTTCAGCATAGATATCCCAGACTAATTTAATGAGTTTTTATATTTGTTCCTAGCTTATTATCTCCTTAACAGTTAGACAAAGGATTAGAGAGTGCTTCTTAGTGAATAAAGGCAATGCTGAGCTAGCAAAGCAGATGCTACCCACACAGCAGGGAGTTAGCTTGCCATGCTGTTTACCTCAGCTCCCAAGGTTTTGTCCATATTTAGAATGATTTGAACAAAGTGGATGAGAAGCACCTGTATTTTAGTAACTTAGTGTATATTTTCATGTCCAGTCATAAAATGTACAGTATATATTGTAGGGTTGCCCGGTGGCACTGAACTAGTGATTTCTTCACTCCTCCCCTTGCTCCTGAAGCAATAGTATAAAACCACTGTATGCCCCAAACCCAACCCTCTTTAAGAATGCTCCGAATGGGCAGATGTAAATCGTGTCTTTATTCCCTTAGCGTCAGCTCAGGCTGTCAGTCCCACTGAGTTTCACAAGAGTTTTGTCAAAACATGACAAGAACAAGATTTAAAGTGCACACACCTACAGCTAAATCTGGCTCTGAGCAATCCTTGTGCAAATCCAGCATAGCTAATAAAGTCATGCAGGAATAAGCGGGGCAGAGTTTTACCAACACAGAATAACCTCAGGTTCAAATCCAACACTGCTCTCTATCCTCTGCCGCACAGCTCAAGCCCTGGTCAGCTCAGGGAGTAATTACATTTCATTCTCTCAACTACGCTTATTTTATTGATGCCGCTGCTGCTCAGACAAGGCAGCCTGCACAGCACAACCAAGCTGGCTTGTGGTTTTGTAAAAGAGCACAAATTTATGTTTGCCAAGTGGATTAGGGAAGCACATAAAAGAAAAATCATTTACAAGCTATGGGGTGTCCTAAGGTGTGTCTCTGGACTACGAGAATGAAAACTATTGCGGTTTTTCTCCCTTACTTTATAGCAAAGTAGTATTTTTATTTTTGGAAGGGCTGTAGGAAATATTTATAATTTCATTTTCTCTGTAGTGAAGAAAAAAAGTATTTGTCAGGTGTGGCAGTTTGCTTTGTGGGACTGGGGTGTGACAGGGAGGTTGGGTTTTTATGTGTTTTTATGCGTTCTCTTGACCAATGCAGAAAAAGTACAACAAAATGAAAACAAAGGATGGTTATTTTTTGCTTGTCTTTCGAATGTCTGTTTTGAGTGGGTGAGAGTTACCAACTGGCAGAGCATTCTGCAGGGAAGGTATAACTTATGTGGGTTCAGACGAGACATGGTAAGACCTTAATTTAAGCATTGTGCATGGAAGAGAGGTACTCAAAAGAGGAGTCTAAACTCCTTTCCATAGAACAGACACCCAAACCTTGGGTATTGTATCAGACATTTGGTCCTGCAGTGGATCTGGATCACCACTCCCTTTAGGAGGTTGTATAACTTTACAAGGTTTCTTGACGGTTTTAGAGGCAGCTGCAATAACAAAGCTTCATCCAAGTCAAAGAGCACTGATGTGAACTGACCTGAAATTCAACTGTGACACCATCTTCATCCGGTGTTTAGACAAGAAGCTTCAGCAGTAAAGCGCATTTGCCTTTCGCACCACCCCTGCGGGGTTCTCCAGTTCCTAATGGCTGACATTAACACTAACCCTTACCTTGTCTCTCCTTCCAGCTTCACATGGTTATGTGGCCAGGTTCACCGCAACCTCCTCTCCAAGTTCACGGGTCAAGTTGTGGAGCTGTTTGATGAAGAGTTCCGACACCTTTACGCGCTGTCCAAGCCAGTGAGGGGACCGAAGTCGCCACCGCGCACCATGCCCTTCCTGTTCAGCAAGAGCTGGGCCCCTCCACGCAGCCTCCCTGACAGCAACGAGGGAAGCACTAACACTATTTCCAATCCACCCTCTTTCCAATCCCTTCAGCAGCCTCTCAGCTGGCAGCACCCACCAGACCAAGCAACGCCCAAGAACTCTCATATTCAGCAACTTCAGCCCCCAGTCACCTCTCCATAGAGTTAATTCCTTGCCCAGCTACGTCTCATTCACACTCCCACCACCACAGAAGGCCATCCAGGCTAACTACTATCAGCCGCACTACGTGGCCGATAACGCCACCGTTCTGTATAACAACATGAACATTTACAGACCTATAAGACTTAGACAAGAGGAACCAAACAGGACAGGGTTAAGCTCACCCTGGAGATGCCTCCACAAAGCTAACCTGTTTGCATAATAACCACCTTGTTTTGAATTGCAAGTAAATGTAGTGAGGACCTGTTTAGCAATCGCTTGTGTACTGATGAATATAGAAATTCTGTATAATACAAAATGAGGATGATTTCAAGCCTCTTGTTTTGTTTTGCTGCTTATGGATGCTTCGTTTCCTTAATTATAAAGCCAAGCCTGCTAACATGTAAACCTTGCGTGCATCACGATCCCAGGAAGAACACATCTAAATAATGCTGCTCACAGTACAACGCTGGTGCTGCCTATCACCTGTCCTTGGTAGCATATTTGTGTAGCAGTAGGTCTAGGGGGTTAACTGTTTTTCATATGGCCAGGCACCTGAAAGTGGGGTAAGTCACAGTTTATTACTATGCATTTTATGTGCTTGCATAAGGAGACCGAAGGCTGCTATTTACGTGCCAAACTGAGGTGACACTGGCAGCAGCAGTCTACCTTCGTGCTGTCATCGCACCTTAATCTTGATTTAGGAGGACTCCTTTGGGGCTGATGGGGGACCACAGTTTCCACCATCACACTGTCTCCGAGCTGACTGCTTGAGGTGCACAGCAAGGATGTCTCTTCGCAGAGTTTCTAGGAAGGGGACGGCTAACCATGACATGGACCGAGACCGACAGTTCGGGTTACGGAGGACATCTTGCAGCCACCATGTGCTCCCTTCCACTCATTAGCAACACGGGTGTGTTCCAGCACACTTTGTTACAAACCTCCACTCCCACCAGCTCAGAGCAATTTTCCTCATTGCAGAGCAGCTGTATAGATTCAGACTGGAAAATGAAGCTCAGTACAGAAGCAAAGTCCTACTAGTAACACACCACGACTGAGTTCCAATTCATTTAATAGCATGTGGATCTCAGAATTCCTCTCAGTGGTCATTTGATTGAATGTTAAGTTAGAGATAATGATGCTTTATTTCAGAGTTCTTCAAAGTTTCTGATTTTTAAAGAGAAACTGGGTGTCTGTAGTGCCCATTGAATACAGAGGGAGTTACAGAGGTTCAGCAAGCAGAAAAACTTTCTGCCAAATAATCCATGAAAACGATGGCAGCTTCTGTAAGTGAATGGCAAAAAAATAGTAAGAAAATTCATGAAACAAAGGATTTCCATTCAAGCCCCAAAGTTGCTAGATGCCTAACATCTGTTGATTTCTCAGTAGACTATTTTTTTACACCTGCTTTATATCATCTTCCATCTGACTCTAATAAAACACAGAAGCCTAAACACATTTGCACATCTGGCCCATTTTGACTGACTTCTCACCTGCTCAAAAAGGAATACAATGCCATTATTTAGGCTGTGGATGATGACAATTGTATGCAGCAGCAAGATCTCAGGTGAAGAAAGTTTCTCATCCTTGGAAGAGCATTCATTTTGAAAGTATAGTGGGAACATTTACAGAACATTATGAAAGGTACAGGATGGACACATCCTGCTTAGCTTCAGTGTGGACATTTTTACCTGTGATATCAAATTTTGAAGTTCAGAATAACAATAAACTATTGCATATAATTGTAAATTCTGTACATAGCAACATTTTTCGGATTCCTTGGGAAGAAGGGAAAGTTGATTTTCATTCCTATGACAATTCTACTTAATGATCTAAATATGGCAACCATTCAAATAAAAGAGGACTTTTATTAAAATCCCTTTGAGAATCATTTTGTTTCTTCATATTGTCTTGACTTGTGCACCTTAACTTTCTTCTCTTCCAAAAGCTAAATGAGTTCCATACAGTCAGAGTCCAGGTGAAGAGGAAACACATTTTGTTTCTTCTGAAATCATAGAATCATAGAATGCTTTGGGTTGGAAGGGACCTTTAGAGGTCATCTAGCCCAACCCCCCTGCACTGAGCAGGGACAGCTTTAACCAGATCAGGTTGCTCAGAGCCCCATCCAACCTGACCTTGAATGTTGCCAGGGATGGGGCCTCTACCACCTCTCTGGGCAACCTCTTCCAGTGCTTCACCACACTCATTGTAAAAAACTTATTTCTAATGTCTAGTCTAAATCTATTCTTCTTTAGTTTAAATCCATTACTCCTTGTCCTGTCACAACAGGCCTTGCTAAAAAGATTCTCCCCACCCTTCCTGTAGGCCCCCTTTAAGTACTGGAAGGCCGCAATAAGGTCTCCCCGCAGCCTTCTCTTCTCCAGGCTGAACAACCCCAACTCTCTCAGCCTGGCCTCATAGGAGAGGTGCTCCAGCCCTCGGATCATTTTGGTGGCCCTCCTCTGGACCCGCTCCAGCAGGTCCATGTCCTTCTTGTGCTGAGGGCCCCAGAGCTGGACGCAGTACCCCAGGTGAGGTCTCACCAGAGCAGAGTAGAGGGGCAGAATCACCTCCCTCGACCTGCTGGCCATGCTGCTTTTGATGCAGCCCAGGATACGGTTGGCTTTCTGGGCTGCAAGTGCACATTGCTGGCTCATGTCCAGCTTTTCATCCACCAGTACCCCCAAGTCCTTCTCCACAGGGCTGCTCTCAATAGGAGAGAATCAACAGGAACAGAATTAAACATACGTGTCCCCCCAGCCTGATTAAGATTTTATTTCTAAATTTGGTTCAGTTCCCTGATCCCATTGTAGCCCAACTGGGGGTGGCACAGAGCAGGATATGGGGAGAAGTTTGCAGACCAGTACCTATGAGGCCTTCATTTCCTCAGGCCATGACCTGTGAAATCCATGAAGGAGCTCTTCTTATCTCTGTGGGGCAAGATAGTTTGCCTACAGAGTTTTGGAGAACACAGCTAATGCAAAGTAGGTAAGGGACAAGCTAATAACCCAGAAGGAGCACTGAGTTAAGAAGAGCTGATTTCAGCCATGGATCAGGGATACAGCTTGTGCTAGTTCAGACAACAGCTGAACTTGAACATCAAATGAATGGAATTTCAGTTTTGATGGAAAAGTATCAGAGTTTACAATTTCAGCAATGAGTTATGCCAAAAATCTTAACCGGCCCCACAAGCTTGATCATTCAGTGATGAGGGGAACGTGTGCTTACAGGCAGCTGCAGACCTGTCAGGAAGGTCACAGGAGGATGCTGACATACCTCGTCCATCTGCGGCAAGGGAAGGGCGCGAGTAAACACTGCTACCATACAGTGCACCCTCAGCAAGTTTGTGGATGACACCAAGCTGAGTGGTGCAGTTGATTCACTTGAGGTGAGGGATGCCATCCAGAGGGACCTGGACAGGCTGGAGGAGGGGGGGGGCATGTGAACCTCATGAGGTTCAACAAGGCCAAGTGCAAGGTCCGGCACCTGGGCTGGGGCAACCCCCGGTATCAATACAGAGGACCGGGGACGAATGGATTGAGAGCAGTCCTGCAGAGGAGAACTTGGGGATGCTGGTGGATGAGAAATTGGACATGAGCTGGCAATGTGCACTTCCAGCCCAGAAGGCCAACCGTATCCTGGGCTGTGTCAAAAGCGGCGTGGCCAGCAGGTCAAGGGAGGTGATTTTGCCCCTCTACTCCACTCTGGTGAGACCCCACCTGGAGTACTGCATCCAGCTCCAGGGACAGACCCTGCAAAGGCCCCTGATCACCCTCCTCAGGGCACCCGATGAATGCTCCAGTGCCACCGCCCACCCAGAGCTCCGCTGAGGAACCGTGCGTGAAATCGTTTCCTCAGCAGAGGGCTGGAGAGAGGAGAGAGCCTGCCCAAGCTTTGCTGGCACAGGACCAGCAGAATGAAGCCTCACAGAAGGCGGCTGAGGAGCTCCAGGCCCAAGTGGCTGCAGACGACGAGGGCTCCTGTTACGTGAGCAGCCTCAGCCAAAGGTGTGAGGAGTCAGAGGTGCAGCTTCCGGAGATGATGGATGAAAACACCAGACTGGCTGAAGAAAATTCTCGCCTCCGTGGGCAGATGTGCTGGGCAGAAAAGGTTCAAGCTGAAAATACTGACCTGAAGGGGCAACTGATGCAATTGGCAGAGGAGCAAAATTCTGCCATGCAAGCCATAAGCTGTCTTCAAACCTGGCTGGACGCTGCAGAGCACAAAGTGAAAGCCATGAGAGGAATGGCAGAAAGTGCTCAGAGAGGAGTAAAAAGGGACCACGGAGAAGCCAGGCAACTGTTTTGAGCCCAGGTGAGTGAACCGGAGAATCAGTTTCAGAGCCCCTCAACATCAGCCTGGGCAGAGGACAGCCCTGGGTGCTGCCTTCTTTCAGAGAAGGACCCCACAAGTGAGACAGAAGAACCAGTAGCAGACAAAGCGTCCGTCACCCTGCAGGCTCTGGGGCAACCACCGGGAAAGCTTTGAGCATCCCTGGCTCGATACAGCTGCGATCTGTGTGATGGTCCCAGTGAGCAGCCTGAGCTGGAGCTTCCTCTAACTGCTGGGCAATATGTTTATGTCTTTGGACAGGTGGATGAAGACGGTTGGTCTGTGGGAGAGCTGGTGGACGGCACAAGAGGATTCATCCCTTCCGATTTTGCCAAAGATGACTGAGATGACAACCTGGAAAACAGGAACTGGAATGATCCTCGTTACTGTATTTTTGGTGTCTCGCCTATTGTGGAGGAAGATTAAGAGATCTTCATGTGGGATGTGGGAGATGGGGGCTAAAAAGCATGAATAAATATAGCCTATACAAACCTCCAGAATATCTACAGAAGTGAATGTGTACTTAAAAGTAACTTTTTTGTTATTAGATTTTTGTAGAATGGGGGGACCTGTGGAAGGCAGCCCCTGAGCGGGCCCCAGCAAAGCCCAGATGAGGCCCCGGGGTACTCTGGAGGGTAATTAGGGCCACGCATGGGCCCCTGCAGAGCCCAGCAAAGGCCCCTGGGGCTGTCCGGAGGGCAACTCTGCCACGTCAGAGCAGCACTGCTGTTGGCAGCGATGGGGACCCTCCTGTCGGGGCTGGCTGCTGCGCACGTCCTTGCCATGGCGAGCAGAGAGAAGCGAAACAGTGAGTGGCATTGCCCAAGGGACCATCCGCAGAGGCATCGCTCACGCGCCAGGAAAGGATGTTTGCAGGGCACGTGGAACCCA